ATTGACTTTGCAAGACACATATCTTAACTTGCAAGGTAATTTTTCTATATATATGCTACCAAAGTAGAGAGAATTTGCTTTAAAAAAGGTTTGGGGATTGGTTGTCATTAATTATTCAATCAAGTCTTATGATTAAAAAAAAATTAAAATTCATATATATAATTGTTTCTATAGGGGCAATTACAACAATGCATAAGCCTTAAGTACCAAAGATCACAAAAAATATGATAAAAATATTATAAAATCTTGTATATCCTTGAGGTGATTTTTTTCTAAATTTCAATAGCTCATATCTCAACAATCAAACTATTCAAATAAATCAAAATTTTATATAAAGTACTGAGATAATTTTAAAAACTACCATAAAAAATTTCAATTACAAATTTGTTACAAATCTTGAAATATATTTCTAAAATCCTAAAAGTAGCTTCAAATCCTTGCTTACATATATTCATGTGTAATTTTCTTCATATCTCATAAAATAAAAATTCAAATACCATAAAATTTTGATATATAGCTTTTCAATCTAATAATATATACTTTTAAAAATTTTGAGCTAAAATTCATTTGGAAACTTAAGATATGGCTCCTACCTTTACTATCAACAAAACAACTTACTTAAGGCATTTGAATTAAATATGCTATCTTCAACACTTTATAACTTCTTCCTACAAATACTAAATGTAAAAATTCTTTTATAAAAGATATAGATCTTAAAATCACCTTTATGGCTGCATCTCTTAATTTCTAAAATCTATCATAAAACTCCTCATATCCTCAAAATAGTAATTGTATATTGTAAAAAAATACCTTAACTTCAAATGGCTATAACTTCATTATCCTAATTCTAAATCCTCTAAAATTTATACACAAATTATAGTCCAAATCTTTAACCTTAAAACCCTTACTTTTGATTTTCAAATGTTTTTTTTGAGGTTGCTAAAACTCTTGTTATGGTCACAGACAGCCTTCTAAATGCTTATTGGATATAGCCTTTGACCAATAGGAATGAAGATCTTTACTTTTTGCCTTCATCCATCCTTACCTTCCTTTTATATCTCTATATAAGTTCCTTAAAGGTTTGGATTTTTCATCTTTGAGCTCCAATTTTTTTCTTAAATTTTATACTAAATATCTAAATCCTATATAATTTAAATATTATAATTAATATCAGTAAACTTTAAAATAATTTTTTTATATCAACTCTCTTTAAATTAATCTACTAATCACTCTAATATACATCAATATTTATATACATATTATATGTTTTAGTTAATTTTTACATACTATAAACATTTATAATACAACAATGCTACATAATTAGCTTGTTCACTAAGCTACTAACATGTGATTAACTTGTTGACCAAGTTTCTAATCTAAAAATTAAGTATAAATACATGTAAAGCCAAAATAGCATCTATAAAGCTTCTAGGAAGCTTCTTTAGAAGATATTATGAAATTAATCTACTTTTATCTATTTTATTTTATTTTTATATAAACATATAGGTATTTATTAGAATATGTATGTATATCCATGATACCTAGATATATTATTTTTATAAATATAAGATAAAAATACCTATAGTATAAAGTCTTTAGTTTAGATAAATGAGATTTTTATAATTTAAGTGCTCCAATTTCTAATGCGAAAGCTTTATAATACTTTCATTTGTATCTTCTTTGACAAGTAATATATATTAATTTTGTTTATATAAATTAGTAAGTCAATATAATTCATTGGATATTTGTACCCTTTTGGCAACAATTTTAAATGGTTCTTTTCTTGTTACTACCACGCAACATAAGTCATTGAAAAAGAATACATTTCCTTGATCAAAAAAATTTCATATTGATAATAAGTTATAATTTATATTAAATACATAATAAATATTAATAAATTATATTATTTCTCTATTATTATTATTATTATAAAACTAATTATTTCTTTTTATTACTACAATATGTGATTGACCTCCTACAAATTTAATTAATAAGACATCATCTATACTAGTCATCTATAAAAGACAACTAAAATGCCTAGCATAATGATGGCTTGGACTTAAATCTATAATCTAATTCTCTTAGGTTGCTTTAGCTACAAATATAACCAAAGTTGATTCAAATGCCTCATCTTTTGAGATGAGTGATATTAAATATTAATTTTTAATAAGTCTTTTTATAGAATATATACTAAACATCTTATTTTCTTCTATTGATATATTATTTGGTATAAATATTGATGAAAATTAAATTAATTTTGATATATTATAGTTGCATATAATATGCCTATTTTTTAAATATCTATGATAAAAAATTTTACTTATATTGAAAGATATGTGAGGTATAAAATTTTGATAATTATTAAAACTATTTTAACATCCTTTCAAAAATCTACCTTATTTTCTATTATTTATAATCATATTCTTAAACTATATCATAAGTACAATTTCTTCATCTTTATCTCTATCAAGTTTTTTTTCTAAAATCATTTTTTTTGAAATAATAAGCTAGTTAATTTATAAAAATTTAATATTATAAATATATATATTTATTATATTAATTATCTAAATAATATAAATAGATAGAAATAAATAAAGTCAATTAATTTAATAACATCTTGTAGAAAAGCTTCTTAAAAGCTTCATAGACATAATTTTAACTTTATACATATTTAAAGGTGATTGATACGTTGAATACTTAGACAACAAATTAGCCACATGTTGTATGTGTTGATAGCTTATGGTATAAGCTAACTATATGGTGCATATAGAAGAAACTTATCTTCCAAGTTAAGATATGTATCTCGCAAATTAGACATGTGTCAAAGGTCTTATAGAAAGTTGCTATATAGCTCTTAGTTAAATAGTAGATATAGAGGCAAGAATGAAGCTTTCTTCATTCTTGTCAATTCTTTTCTTGCTTTTAGTCTAATTTCAAGAGTCTTTAGATTTCTAATCTTAGGCAATAACCATTATAGTTTCTCTTCAAATATACATACTTTCTAATTATCATTTTATCATTTATTTTTATTTTTTTTATATACTTATCTCACTTGTTTATGTATCTTTTTTGAATTATTATCCTTGACATTTAATATTTTTCTTTTGTTTTGAACTACAGCTCTAAACATATTAAACTCTTTTGATAAGCCACAAAGGATCTTGTATATAATCATAGACTCTTTTAGATACTTATAAATGTCTTCTAGTTTGTTTAGCAACAAATTGATTTATTGAAGGTAAGTTATAACAATTATGTTTTCTCCCATCTTCACATTATTCTATTTATCCAAAAATATCATGTTTTTTGCCACTATTTTTGTATCAAATAGGATTTTTAGTTTAATCCATACCTCAAGCGGATCTTGTATTTCCTTAATTTATTTTTTGACAAGTTTTGTCAAAGATAAATGCAATATGCCTAATACCTTCTCTTGCTTTTTTTTATATTTCTTTAGCTTAATAGGTTCAATAAGTAGATAGAAAGGCAATCCAGATTGTGATATATCTGCATCTTTCTCAAGTTCTTGAGTAGAAGAAAAAAATAGTTGAAGTGCCCTTGGCTTCAATTTCTTGACCCTCATTGCCAGTTTGGCCTTGATAATTGGATCCTAAGGATGAACTACATCAAAAGGGTCATCTTTTAATAAAACATTTGTCATAACATCCTGCCACTTTGTGTAGTTTGAAACACCAGCTAGTATTTTTGATGCAGAAATGACTCTTTCCATTTTCCGCATTTGAAATAATAAAATCTTAATTTGCTTGTAATATGACATTGTTCACATACCCCTTGTAACACTTCTTCTCTCTTCTCTCTCGGTGTTCGTAACACAAATTTCTTGCTCTCATGCTACGACTTAACTCTATGCATAGAACACAGGTCTACCATACAATGGCCCCTGCCTAGAAAAGAACAATCTGGAATTAAACTCACAGAAAAATAAAAGGTGAAACTATGTCCTTTGAGCAATTTTGAAAAGGTGAAGCTCACCCACCAACTTAATTACATTAACTACATCAACTACATTAAATTAATCCTAATTAGTTAAGTATACACTTAGTGTGTACACAGTTGCCAAATACGCAATTTATACTAACAGTAGTTTCAGTGACCACAAGATCATGTCGTTACCCCAACTACCTGACGTCTCATCGAAGATACAGAAAACAGGAATCCGATCACAGAAGACAGGTATACAAAATACCAGCTGCTATGACAATTAGCTAGAAGTGAATATCAGAAACATTCAGTTCGAAGGTGACACCACTATTTGAGCGATTAAGCGACAATCGGTGATCTTCAGTCGACTAACTGACAACCAACACCCACTATCGCTAGTATGTGTCCAGCTTTTTCATTAAATATGCAGAAGAATGTTAACTCAGCTTTCTATAAAAGATCAGATTTAATTGGTTCTAGAAACAGAATTCAACATTTAAACTACAAAGCTACCCAGAAGTTAGAAGATTCAAAACTCTCTGTGAACAAGAAGGATGGTCAATGATCATCTGAACTTGCTATGCTGATTGACGAAGTGTTGATTAGTATTTCATTCCAGATCATTGTCGTCGTTGATGGTCGCGGTTTATGGTAGATACCAAATTTTTCGTGACCAGATCATGGACGTAGACGTTCTTCAAAAGATCGGTATTGGAGTTGGAAACGACCTAGGCTTGCCACTTTAAGATGTTGGTATAAAAACCTCAAGGGATGTCTGCATCGGTCATGTTTAGTTTGATGAAATTTAGCCAGTTGTCTGCCTAACTTCCAATAGATCTCTATAATTTCTAAAAATGTTATCCTAGTCTACGACTCATAAATATGAGTATATTTTGGCACCTTTGCATGTAATGGCTTTTCATACAATTCTGCTTCAACTGTACCTGATGCTGCTCAATCCAATATGTAGTGAGGACAATCCGGAAGAATTCTGCACTGCTGTGTAGAAACATTGATCCGCATCTGTTTTCAGTGTTGACTTGTATCTCGATATGCACATTTAGAGAATTGTACACAGCTCAAAGTTCAATCTTTTTTTTTTTTTTGTATGACTCTTAAAGCAGAAGAGTGTCTGATCTGGACTTGTAATCTTGCTTTTCTAGACTGTAGAACTGGGAAAGATGGAATGATGTACTTTAGATTCTGGCCTCCATCTCGAGCTTTCAAATTTGCTCAACTGCCACCGGCTTGATTCACGCGGCACAACTTTATTTATATCCTTTACAATCATCTTAATTCCGAAACGTTATTGCATCCATTGTAATGAACACTATTTATGGGTTCCGAGTACGCTAAAAGTGACTCCTCAAGAAGACGCAGAGGTAAAACTGCTCAAGTTGCAATAAGTTCAGTAGCAACTTGACTCCAAGAAACCCTTCGCGAACATCTTCATCATTAAATTCTTTAGACGTGCGTCCACTGTTTCTCTGTTAAGTACTCGCGAAAGGAAGCTCAAATAAATGTGAGGCGATCTCTGAACTTCCTTAACGCGCTAGCATGTCCAGTACCTAGAACAGGATCAAATGCATTACAGAATTAAGGTGCATCCAGATTTGATCGATAGCATTCACAAGGTGCCTCAAAAAATCAATATCAACTCAAATGCGGTAAGCAGGGCAGCAATAGAGGAACTCAGGCCGACAGGTCAGCTTTCGTTACATTCTTAGGTGGTCAGACGCAGCAGGGAAAAGATCCGGATGTTCAAATAAGAAATCAACGTGGTCATGATTCTTCCACTTTCTCTACTCCACCAACGCGATCTGAGCACGACCTAATATTTGAAAAGTTGACACGAAAGTCAATTGAGAAGAGCCCGATTTCCTGCAGAAACTAATAGTGCTCCCCTGTGTTCCCTACTTTCCAACCACAAACCCACAGCAATCAAATATGCGGGTTATAAATTATTGTTTCTCTGCATGGTGGTACCTTTCTATGGAGTTTTCTACATCAGACTACCCCAGTTACAACAACAAAATTCCAGCACATTCTAACAACAAAATCATCTTGACGTCACATGGGCTGTGGGATGAAACTATAGATGCAGAAGTTTGAGTCGTAATGCTCACCAGCAGCAAAACAAATTACGATTTTCTCGCTTATTAACGGTTCTGACGAAGTCAAGAATCAGGTGCTTGGGGACGTCCACGAATGATCGTGCAGGCAGTTTGGCTATAGTTGGCAAACCGTAAGGTAGGGTGGGTTCTTCATTCTTGAAATAGCGGCGCCAACCTCCTCGTTTGGTAAGAGGTTTCCATCCAAGCTGGACAAGGGCCTGCTCCACCTCCTCATGGGTGAACATTTCGCGCATGCTTGGAAAGTGTAGAATACAACGATGTGTTTCCTCTTCATCGTGACATCGCTACAGTGAGCCACAATTTCACCACAATCAATTTTGCAGCTCTTATGATGTATGATACTCTCCAAAGACGTAAACTGGCGATCGAGGGAATTGAACTTTGTCCATCACAATTTCTTTCAATGTTCGTTTAACGCAATTAAGGTGAATAATGATTCCCCATACGACACTCGAATCCGAATAGAAGAGAATTCAAGGGGACAGGACCAGGGTTCTGGGAGACGCGAAAATGGGCGACAAAACACAACTATACCACATGACCCCATGAATCCACAACTATCCTACAGTTCAAGAAATGCATATATATATATATATATATATATATATATACATATAAATGCAATGGAATTATCTTGTTGAGCTTTTACAGCTTTTGCTTTAGAGTCTCAGTTTGGCGCCAGATTGTCCTCAACGAGAAAATCCACGAGGGAACTGTTCCGGAAAATCAAGCTCAATTTACTCGCTTCAAACAGGAAAAAAACCAATCATCTGACATCACGAATATGAAACGAACTTACGTCTCTTGAGAAAACGCGCTCTACCAATCGTTGGATGCCGCACCCACCTGGATCGCCTAGGCCCGTTGACAGAAGGCCAAAGCCATCCCAGAGACTACTCATTTCCGAAGAATTCACCTCTCGCTTGCTGGTCTTCTTAACTTTCCACCGCATGAATCGCCTTCTCGGACAATCCTCTAACTGCTCTACAAGTCTTAGAGTTTCCTCAATGATGAACCTGATGCCAAGCAAAGAGGACCTCTAACCTTCAGACCTCTTGCACCTCCAACGATGACAACCAACGTCTTCCAACTCACGCGCGATTGCGACCGCGACCAAGGTACAAGAAACGTATGAAGCATACTCTTCTGACTGCTCTTTGAGTCACTTCAATGCGGAACCAAGAGAAAGCTTCAGACCGCTTGCATCTCCCTACTGTGAGAACCTGCTGGAGTATATCCTTCCCAACTTGCGCGCAATTGCATGTGCAAGTGCAACAAGGTCCAAGGAACTTGCTTACCTACAGCACAACTGAAGCAAGCAGACCTAATCTTGTAGCTGTTGTAGTTTGCCTCTTGGCCAGTACTAGTGTGGCCCTGTCTCGGGAAGGGGGAGCTCAGGCTTCTTCGAAAGGCACGCTGGAGTCTCAGTTTGGCCACAGACAATCGCACTAAATAAGATTCCTCTTCGCACCTCCCACGCTTCGGCCATGGGAACGCCCGTAGTTCCCATGCGGTTCGACAAGAGTTCTCAGTTCCCGTTCTGTTCGACTAGAGTTCCCAGTGTTCACTTCCCCTTGCGTTCATTACGCATGGCTGTTTGCTATGTATGTTTACTATGAGTTGTGTTTAATTTGCTACTATTACAGACTTCCCTTTAATCAACTATGATGGAATTTTTGACTGCATTTCCGTTTAAATACTCTATTTAAATAGTAATAGCATGGGCACATTTAACTCCCACATGATTAAATTCAGATTAATAAATATAAATTATTTACAAAAGTTTTAGATTTTAAAGATTAGTCTTCACATCCATTAAAATTATTACAAGTTTATGTGAGATTTAGTGAAATACTTTTCTTAAGAGTATAATTTAGTTGAAATTTCTTTGTAAATCACAAAATCTCCTATGTAATGTATTTAGATTACTTCAAAAGATACATCGCTAGTTGGTCTCAATATGTTAGAGGAAATATTTATCTATAAAGTTTATTTCTTTTAAGGCTTTATTCTTCTTAATTAAATTCTTAAATTTATTTTTGAACTATATATTTAATTTCATTTTAAATTCACTAAAATTAATCAAAAAATTAACTTGCATGCTTTTGAATACAACCAAATCTACTGAACTTGTAAATTAAGGTTTTTTATTTACTATGGGAAAATTAATTTAGATGAATATCAAGGAAATGACCAATGAGTCATTGAATTAAAATAGAATCAAATTTATCGCAGTATTTTAATTAAAAATTGTGTAAGTTATGATTTTTGACATACAAGTTTTGTATATTTTTTGTATAACATTATCACAAAATTATTATATTTAAAAAATAGATATGTCTTTTATCCACATTATTTATTATTCATTGTTTCTTTGATAATTTTGATAATTGTTCTATTGAATTTGTCTTCATAATTTCAGTAATACTAGAAATAAATCTAATATGAGATAAAAAAAAATGCAAAATCTACATTAAAAAAATGACATCTAAATACAGTCTTTAAATTACAAGTACAAAGAAATGATGCCATCTATAGTAAGAAGTAACCACTTTTCACATATAAGAGCATAACATTCAAAATTTTGTTGAATTAAAAATAAAATAGCATAAAATTATATAATAACAAATAATCAACAGCTTAATTAAGATAATTTGGTACTTTTATAATCTTTTTATAATATTATCACAAGAAAATCTAAACAATTTATAAATCTTATATGACTTTTTTACATATAGTAGAAGAGAAGTTTGCTAAAATTATACATATAATTTTTAAAATATTTTTTTAGATTAAATTAAGTTAATATTTTATATTAAATTTAAGACTTATTGTAAAATAGATAAAACTTTAAAAAAAAAAAAAAAAAAAAAAAAAAAAACTTACAAATGAAATCTAATTATAAGTTAATTGAATATTCTTCTTTTTATTGTTAAAACCAAAGACAAAAAATAAAAACTACACCACTTGCTTGCATTATTAACTTGCAAAATCATAATACAATAATAACCTCCATGAATGCATAACTACACCTAATGCTATGTATTATTATTTCTTAAGTAATCCAATTTTATTAGCCTATGTTAAATCAGGCTCTTCGAATCTAATCTAGATACCAAAACTTAAATTTTCTATAAAGCATTAGAATATCTACATCAAACTATCTAGATATAATTTTTTAAATGCTATAAAAATCAGTAAGTACAAATTAACTACTTTGTAGAATATCTATGTAAATTAGTTACATAGATATTCTATCAATCTAATTTTCTAAAGCAAAATATAAATTCATTTAAAATAATTGATATTCTGTACTTTATCAATGTGGTTACTTTTTGGTTATTCAATCTAGAAGTTAGTAATGAATTTATATCCAAATTTTAAAAAATAAATAAAATATAAGTTGAAGATTTTCAATCAACTTTGACAAAATAGTGTTTTTTTATTTATGTCATCTCTTAAAAGAAAGTTGATTGGAAATTTATAATTTTTATTTTAAATATATTTTAATGTAAAGATTTAACAAATTACTTTAAAAAATATAATGATTTATATAAAAAATTATATAATTAACTATATAGAAATTTTTTTCTAATACACAAATGAAGAAATATATGATTATGTAAAAGCAAAGGCATTGACACAATATCAAAACTATAGATATATTAACGAAATTCTAAAGTTCATTTTAATAAGAACCTTTAATAATATATTTAGTTTTTAAGAAAGTAAAATATTGCAATTATATTAAAATCCATGAAGATTTTTAATTTATAAAGTAATATAGTTTAATTTATTTAGTTAATTCATAAATATCAAATAAGAATTTGCTATTGATTTTGTTGAATTTTCAATCAAAAAAAACAATTTTGCAACTAGAGATAATAAAAAAAAATGAAAAAAAAAATTATTAGCAATCTTAGGCCTAAATTATTACTTTGGTTTGATTTCATTTCAATCATCATCAAAAATATTATTTAAAACAGATAGAATCACATTAAACGAAAATGAAGCATATTGAAGGATTACAAAGAAATTCATATTTTATTTGTCATTTATGAAATTAAGAGTTTTCTTAAATTAAAAAAATAAATATATATATTTTTATTTTTTCTACAACCTATAGACAACAATGATATTTTATATTTTATATCTTTGTAAGGAAAAAAAATATAGAATAGAAAAATATTAAAAGTGTTAAAATTTAATAGAATTTAATAATAAATATATATATATATATATATATATATATATATTGACATCTATGCATACATTAGAATTGTACCATAAGATTACTAAAAGTTTCAATATATTTTATAGAACAATACTAAAAATAACTAAGAATAGTGGAATTTATATGAAAGTTTTTTTTTATTAATTTGTAGAAACTTTGGAGCGTTTTGGTAGGATTATATTTATATATATATATATATAAGACTTATAATTACTCTAAAGTATCATTATATATCTTGTTCTTATTTGGTTGAGTTTTTGTGTGATGAATTAATTATAGTTCTATATAATATTTTTATATTAATATTTTTAAGTACCATAAAAAATTAGAAATAAAAGTTATAAAAAAATGAACTTCTTTTGAAAGATGTTAGAAAATAAAAAAATGTAATTATTGTTGAAAAAATATATACCAGTAATTAGCATACATGAAAAATAAACATGTAAATTATCATTGTAATAAAAAGATTTTATTAATTATAAGTAGAATTAAGAAAAAAGAAAAAAAATTATAATATTATAATATGTAAAAAAAGAAATGTGGTAATAATATGAAAAAGATTTCTATTATTTCTTTTTTTTTAATAAAGAATGGACTTATTAACAAAAAATAATCTAATAAGATAAGTCACATGTTAGAAATATATTTCCAATGGCATTTCAACCATGCAACATTACTCTTAAGACAAAATACTATTTGTATAAGTTATAAAAATTAATAAGTGTAAAAAATTATATAAACTTTGTACAACAACTACCAAAGCAATTAATTGATCTAGATAAAAAGATGAATGATTTTTGAATTTTGAGCAAAACTAAATTTAAATTTCTTTTGAGCTTTGACAACTATTCTTTTTTTTTTTTTCTAAGAAATCAACTTTCTTATACAAAAAATTATCAAGTCTTTTCAAGCTTGATTACCAATATATTAGAAAAAAATAAAAAAACAAAGAAAATTATATTAGGAGAGAATTAAAAAATAAAACTATTTAAAAAGTGCTGTATTTTTTTATATCTCTTTAAATTTTAAAGTCATAGTATTTATTTTATTTTATAATAATATGAAACAAATTAAATTAAAAAAAAATAAAGCAAAACAAAATATGGTGCTATAGTTTTTACAAGTTTAGAAATTAAAATCACAAATGCTTAATATTTTTTAAACTTGCTTGTAGAAAAAAATTAATAGACACTTTTTTTGTAAAATTTACTATGTTAAAAAAAACCTATAATATAAATTTTCCTATACTATAAATTTTAAAAGAATTTAAAAGAAAATTTTTGACGAAATAAATAATAAAAATAAATTTTAACCCTTTTATTAGTTGAATATTTAAAAAACATTTCATAATTGTATTTAGTTTTATTTTTTTCTTACTTATTAATAAAATGCTATTGAATTATAAGTAGGTTGAGGTCTTAGAAATTGGACTTTAAGAAGCAGTTAGGATTTCTAAGATCTTTAGCAATCTACTAATTTAATTGAGATAAAATTTATATATAAAGATAATAGACTTTACTTGCTACATACATGTCAAATTTGAGAACTATTAAAAAATTCAATAAGGAGATATTGGCATTGGAAGTTCAACATTCAAATTGGAGTAGGAGGCTAGCCAACACACAAGTAGATTTTAGGGTTTTTCTTCCATTTGGTATTTGGGATTATCTTCAAATTTTGTGTGCTTATTGCCAAATCAATTTTTGAAAGGTGTATAAATTTTTAAATAAGATCAATAATTCAATTGATAGATATTGAAGTTCTAAACTATATTAGAGTTAGATTAAGTAAGATTAGGATTTGGTCTAGGATTTGATTAAGGATTTGGTTTAGGATTTAGGATTTATCTAGGATTTTATTTAGGATTTGATTTAAGATCTAGAATTTGGTTTAAGATTTAAGATTTTTCTAGAATTTGATTTAAGATTTGGTTTAGGATTTAGGATTTGTTTAGGATTTGATTTAGGATTTGGTTTAGGATTTAGGATTTTTCTACAGTTTGATTTAGAATCTAGGATTTGATCTAAGATTTGATTCAAGATTTATGATTTGGTTTAGAATTTGATTGAAGTCTATTAGGATTTCAACTAGGATTAAATTAGAACTTAGTTGAGATTTATTTAAGATATATTTGTGATTATTTTCATATTTTTTAGGGCTTCTTGAGGATTCTTTTAAGA